AATTGACGGCTCCTTGTCACTTTAAGAAAAAGTAATCTACTGGGAAAGAGGACAAAGATTAAAATATAAGTAAAAGTTAATGGCTTAGACAAACATGATTGTGGGTCCTTGATTGATATTAAAAGAATGGAGCCTGGAGATAGCCTTCTGAAAGGATTGATATGACACCCCTACTTGGAAGGTACTTCAAAAGTTGTGTCTGAGCCCACTAGCTACCAAGTGAGTGAAATCTTCTGTGTGACTAACAAGGGCTAGCTAATTGTTAAAGAGTTTTCTCTGAGGCCTGTTGGTGGCTGGAGATCTTTGAGCATTTCCCCGACACTCTGCCTTCCTTTCTACCTGTTTATATTCACACCAATTTTTACAGATCTGTATTCAATACCTAAGGTACATGAGGTGAAACCCTGGAAATGATCAACAATAACAGAGTAGACAGAAAATTCAAAACAGATCAAATTCCTACTGGTAAATCCACCGTTGAACACCTTTATTACATCTGAGTGACATTTAAAAGAGCTTCACACTTTAAGTTGCTCCCGATTAGGTTACTTGAGATAAATGAGGTTCTCAAATAATAACTAAAGGTATTAATATACAAACATCTACCTGGTAGAGATTTAAAAAATAAGATGACTTTGTATATATTGAGATATTAAAAACATATGACAGATGTAACAGAAGAGATCTAAGGTGGATTGATATTAAAAGGCCTAGTGGAAATCTGGTGTCTCTTATTGGGATGGAACATGTGTTACGGCTGTTGAAACATGTGAACTCCCCTGTGGTGAGCTGGTGAGTGAAGGTGTAAGAAGCAGTGTTGTCTGAGGAGGGCACACCCCAGCACGTGAATCTTAGCATCCAATGTGCACAGCCAAAGGACCCCCTTATTTCTCAAGGTTTCTGTCCTGCTCTCACTCACAATGTCCCAGCATCCCTTGCTGATGAAATACTGGAAGATGAGTAAAAAGAAGCAAATATCTTTATAATCCTTGGGGCCAGATCCCTGTCAGGACTTCTGCCTAAGAAAGTGAAGTAGGGAATGAGAGAGAGGGGGTTTAAGGGCAGAGCTATGGTCTAGCATCTGAAGCTTCCTGTCTACTGGCATGAGTAATGAGGAAATAAAACACAGAGCTGTACCTGAAGTGGGAAGACTCATTTGGTTTCTATTCTGCTCCCCAGTCTGGAAGATGGTGTTCTCAGAGGGGCTAGGGAAGAGGCAGAGTCACTGAGCTGCCTGTGTAGCAGCCAAGGCAGTAGAAAAACAAGTTCCCACACTGGGCAGAGTCCTCCTGATGTTAACCTCCAATGCAGCTACCCCTGGTCTGTTTTTTTTTTTTTTTTCATCTTAAAAAAGCATGTCAAATGACCTAAATCCAAAAATAGGGCACTTCACGCTCAAGACTATTTTAAATAGCATCTTTTTTTAAAAAAAAGAAAAAAACCCTACATTTCCATTTCTGTGACTCTCCCCCCCACCATCCCTTGAAAACAGAAAATACCATAGCTGGTTGTCATTCAATCTAAAATCAGACACCATGCCAGCTGGAATCCTAGGTCTATTTATTATGTGCACAGTTCTTACATTAACTGTTTGTTAAAGACTGATTTCACCACCACTGAGATACAATAAAACTCAAGGTTCTTTCATTTTTTGCCAGAAAGATTGATTTAAGTGTGACCCATCTGAAAAATGCTATTCAAAGACAGGAACAGAAGTACTATTCAATAACTGATCCAACTGTATTTCTGAAGGAATCAAGTTTAAATCTAAGTTAGTATCTAATGGATTGGGAACAAGATAGAAGTAAATATCTATGACTTCTGCTCTATTTGCATATCAGGTCATTTATAAATTCCCAACGTTCTACAGTCTGTAGCATATTTAGTCAGTTAGGTGCACAGACACCTGGAAAAGGTAATCCAGTAGGAGCAGTAACTTTTCCTCCACTTGGGAAAATTGCTCACCTTGGCTGTGTATGACAGTTTCACACGTAGTACAGGTTGCAATTCACCCAGAGAGTTTTAGAAAAAGTAGAGAATCAGAGTTTCCAGCTCACATGCCTTTATAAAAGTTCACAAATTTGTCCTTACACAGCTCATAGATGGCATACAATGCCAACACGATACACGTGTGTTGACAGGTATACATGCGATTGGGCCTCTTCCAGATCTACAGACATGATAGTTTTCTCTTCTACAAGATAGGTTCTGCTGGATTGGTTTTTTCCAGCCAGCCCCGCAGGCTCCTCTCTTCTCCAAACATAGGGTATCTATCACTTATTTCAAGGTCTTAAATGTAGGTCAGCTGCGTCTTGATGCATTTAGTTTGGGTCCTTCGTCACCATGTCCCTGGAACACAGCAGGGTTTATGCCTTCCCATCAGCTGTGTAACTGGGGCATTTCCCCAGCACATCTCCAACTCCAACCTGAAGCCCACCTTGTCGGAGTCTCAAAGGCAAAGAATGGGCCTTTGATTAATATGGGATGGAGTGGAGTAGATGAGAAGGAGAAGGAAAGGAAGGGTATGATGGGTGAGAAGAAAAGAGAGGCCAGGGGATGGCAAAGCATTGAAGGAAAGGGGAAGCTACTGAGGAACAAAATGGCTATCTGGGAACACAACACAAAAAGGACCTCAAATAAGAAAAAGAGGGGAATGAGGAGTCAGCCAAAAGACAAAAGTAGATGGAAAATCGAGTCATGGAGACAAAAGGTGAAATATTTTCAAGAGAGATAGATCGATCCCAAAGAGGGGACCCACTGAGGAAGTCTTCCCCTTACCAATAAAAGGCACAAACAAATGAATTGAGCACCTAGGGCTGAGTTGATCAGGGATAACATCCTCAAAAGCTTTCAGAGAGCTAAGTGTGGTGGTGCACACCTTTAATCCCAGCAACTCAGGGGGCTGAGGCAGGAAGATTTCAATTTTGAGGCTAACCTCAGGAACTTAGCAAGACCTTAAGCAACTCAGTGAGAACCTGTCTCAAAATATTTTTTTTTTTTAAATGGGGGCTGCAGGGCTGGAATGTAGTTCAGTGGTGAAGCAATCCTAGGTTCAATGCTCCATACCAAAAATAAAGAAAGGAAGGAAGGAAGGGAGGGAGGGAGGGAGGGAGGGGAAGGAAGGAAGGAAAGAAAGGAGGGGGAGGGAGGGGGGAAATTCTGAAGAGGAGGCAACTTCCTAAAATGCTGAGGAGACTACAGGAACAGAACTCTTGAGCTGTGGATAGTGAAGCAGAAAGTATCTGACTATAGAGTAAAAAGAGGGTAAACGTGAGATACTTGTACCTTTTCTTCAGTGTACTCCACCACATGCATTATAAATAATAATAAAAAGACTAAATTACATTTTTGTTTAAGGATGGCTTTTTAAGTGGGCCAAGTGTAATTTCAGCAGATTTATGCCCAAAATAATTTCTCTCCTTTTTCTTACCAAGAACTGAAATTCCTAACATAAGGAACAATCTCTCATTTCACAATTAAAAGGAAAACTCAAAATGCAAATACCAAGGTTCTCGAAACAACATACGGTGGTTACGTTTCTATTAGTATGGATGAACAATATCATATATCCTCCCTAGACAGAGAAAAAAAGAAGTTAAAGACAAAAAGTCATAGCTCCAAGAAATGCAGACATAGTTCAACCTAGAGAAGAGGAAGAAAAAATAGAGTTGGAGACACCAGTGACAAACTATCAGCTTTACCATCTTGTCCAAAAGCAACTCTATCCAGTTTCAAGTCTGCATAGATATCTAGGATCAATGCATGCTCGGATACTGCACCTGAAAGGACCTCTGATCATGAGGCATGCATGACATTTATTAAAACCAGGGCCAGTGAGAGTCCCATAAGATTGAAGGGCACATAAAAATAAGCTCAACAAAGAAAAACATTCTTTAAATTTTTACCTTAAAATTCCATTTAGTTCATTTATACATAGAAAATGTCAGCCTATACTAAAACAGACCTGCTATAATAACAGATTCCACCCATACCACTGTTATTTGCATTTCTGGACGGCCTTTAAAACCACAAATCCAAGTCTAATTAAATATCCATCAGTGAAAGATCATGGTAAAGAATGTAAGATCTAGAGACAGACAATCTGGTGTGAATTCTGGCTTGGCTACTAACTTATTAGTTGTCTTACTCTGTGTATACCCTATAACCACTATTAAGTGTTAATTCCCTCCTCTGTATACAAGGGATAGTATCTGGTTTACAGAATAAAGTGGGTTACATGAGAAAATGTACATAAAGCCCTTAACACAATTTTTGGCACAACAAATGTTAAATAAACATTAGTAATGAAAGTTCTTGTTATTCATGCTATTCTTCTGCTTAGAGCACCTTGGTGGTATCAATGTGATAGAATGTAACAATCCATCCCAATATAGACTGTGGGGTCTTCATTCTTGAAAAAAATTTTCAATTAACTAGCCAATTAATTAATTTAAAAAGCCTAACATCTTATAACTCTATAAATATTCACTTATTTATCTACGTTTTAAGACCAGAAAATTCTACTTAGCTCCACATTTAACCAAAATGATCAATATGGGAAATATTGATAATATCTGTGAAAGACACAAAAAAGTTTGATAGCTTTTGAATATGGAAGTTGGAGAATTCCAAAGCAATAGAACCTATTGAATTAATTCAGACATATATCATGAGTTCACCATTGTATTCCCTAGGACTTAGAGTAAAAACCTGATGAAAAGGGATTAATCTCCATAACTGGTATTACCAGCACCTGGAAAAGCCAGTTGCATAAAAGGATTAACAGAGCAGTTATGCATGGGGCTAATTGCTGTGATTTATTTTAATGACGATGCTGGGACTAAGGACAATCCTGACAAAGTTAGGAACCTCCAGAAATCCAAGCAAAAGGAACCCTCAGGAAGTTGGGGCAGAGTCTAGGCTGGGTACAGGCAAGACCTACATGCCTAACCTCTTCAAGGGCAGGAAATCTAGTCTCATTAGTTCTTTTTCTTTTTATATTAGAGTGTTTTTAATCACAAAACAATGATAATAAAGAAAGCTTGTCCACTCTGAAAAGGGAAATAAAATCCCTTATGTACTTAATAATTTTCTAAGTCACAATGCTGGAAAATACAATATCAGGTTACTTCGAAAGAGTCATTGTACTAAATAAAGCAAAGGCTCAGAAGATATACCTGTGTTCAAATCCCAGTGGAGCCCCTTTATAGAATAATTTGGGGCAAATCACTTACTTTAATAACTGTTTTAAAAAGCTACCTCATAAAGCTGATATCAGGATTTAATGAGAAAAATGCAGGTAAATGCTTAGCACAGGCCCTGGATCATAAAAAAGTCTGAATAGCTCTATAAACTCAATCTTAGAACTAACTTTGCAATGTTATCTGCAAATTTGTGTAATCCAAAAAAATTAAATGGTCTTTGGGCATTATCAACCATCAGCCCTGAGGAGCCAAAAAGATTATGATAAATTTCCCCTTTACCATATGTTACATTTAAATAATGATTTAAATCTTTTCCTCTGCAATTCCAACCTCTCCCAAAGTGATTCAAAGAAGGAGTTTCATTTGTTATGAAGCATTTTTTAAAATCTCTAAACAATAAAATTAAGACATTAATTTAACTTCATAAGACTTTTCCCTTAAATGTATATATATATATCTCACATATATTCACTTAAAGTCATCAGAGTAGGGGATTATTACTTTCTCTATGAACTTTAACCTCAGTGTGCACCATTTCTAATCTAAAATTTTCTCCATTCTATTTAGATTGGCCCAAACTCCCTAGCTAAAACTTAACAAGAAGTTATATCCAAACGTGCCAATGGTCCACACGCAGCCATCCGTGAAATTATTGATTTGGATGAAAAACACAACTGGACCTAAAGGAATTTTTTTAAATTTATGAGGCAGGAGAAATAGCCACTGAATTTTTGACAATGTTTAATTTCAATATTTAACACTGGGGTCTGTAGAGTTTGATTGGTTGGTTGGTTTAGTACTTTCAGTTTTTACTATCTTATATGAAAACTAAAAAGAGTATTATATTTCTGCTTTCTATTCTATATCAATAACTTCTCCTAATGCAGGTTATTTGTATTGAGAAATTGTCTTTCACAGAATGAACTTAACCAAAAACAGAAACCTATGACAGGTCAACGAAGTTTAAAAGTTAAGTCGTGTTATATTTAATCCTTAAATTACATCATACTTATAGGCTAGCTAACCAGAAACCCAACCGGAACTTTCTATTCTCCTAATATATGAAAATCAAATTTTAGATTAGAACCACAGATTTTAATGGTTTACTAGCCTCAAGATCATCTCAGTAACTTCATGGCCAAAAAAATAACCATTAATGAAGAAGAAAAAGTGAAAGTCAAAATGTTTTCTTTACGAAACATTACATATATAAAGTACATTTATTCTAGGTATATATTTTATATTCTTTAAGCTATCTCAAAATTCCTATGTAGAATCTTAGATTTCTTAGCATTTTTACACAATATCCTCAATTCTAAAAGCATCATTTCTTTCAAAGCAAAATTAAGTTAGTTGTCTCCAACCAGTCTTTGTTTAAATTTTTGGCAATAGCAAAATATATAGGACAAAAGTTGAGAGAACAAAATAAAGGTGAAGAAAAAAGTGGGAAAAGGCATAAAGTGATATGAAAATATTCAGAAAACACTGAGTACCCAGCAGTACAGGAAGACTATAAGGCACCCTCCCTTCTATGGAAGAAGTTAAGTACCATGTTGCATTAGGAACAATAATGAAGCCAGAGTATTATAACATATTATAAAATAATCAGATGTACAACACAGGAAATGGGAAGAAAGAGATGGCCATGAAGTAGACTAATGGTGAGAAATCTCATGAAGGAGATGACATTTAAGCTTGAGTTTGAAGCTCAGGTAGAATGATTTGAATAAGCCAGCGAAAGGTAAAAAAGGCACTCCTCACCAAGAGCAACAAAGGTCCTAAATGGAACAAAGCATAATGTCTTGGTCCAGAGCGAAAAGAAAGGTCTGCTTATAATTAAAGGGTTTTTTTAAGGAAATGCTAACATTTTCCCTTGGATCACAGATTATAATTATTTATTATCATCATATATATTTTAATATTTAATATTAGTATTATCCATATTTTATGGGACAATAAACTGAGACACAGAAAGGCTGAGTGTCTTGCTCAAGGCCACATAATCACCTCCTGAGGAGAATGCAGCACTCCTTCCACTCTACCACCCTTACCGCAGGGGCATGAGGTTGGACGAGCAAGCAACATTATAGGAAAGACAATCCATCCACAGAGGCTTGAGAATGCTGGTGAAGTGATGACAATACTTTTTTAAGAACATTACTAATCATGCCACAGTGAACTGGATAGAACTTAACTGACATAGTGATGAGCCAAAAAAAAAAAAAAAAAAATACTTCAGAAGCTGGTGAAGTAATCCTGAGAGAAGTGGTGAAAGCCGGATTAGGGGTTTGCAGTGATATTAGAGAAAGAAAGAAATACATCAGATATGGCCAAAGCAACAAAAAATGGTGACTTGGTGGGTGCAGGAAAAAAAGAATGAAGTCAGAAATTAAAGTATCATCCAGTGAAAAACGGATGGTGTAGTTCATTACATAGCAGTCAGACTCAACAGCTTCCCCTGGCCCTTACTCTCCTGCAAAGCCATGTTTTCCTCCTCACTGGCCATTTTCCAACTTCCAACTCTATCCTTTCATTCATTCATATTTTGCAGGCTGACTGTGGATTGGACAGTGGTCAGACTCTAAGAAACAGAGATTACAGTAAAAGTAATAATGAAAACAAAACCATTTATTAAGCTCTTATTCTATGTATGACAACCACTGTTTTAAATGTTTTATATTAATTAAACTCATTTGATCCCCAGTATAACTCTATAGGCTAAGCAAAAGTTATTATTCCTACTTTGGAGAGAAGGAGGACATAGAATCCATCAAGTGTACACCTCCTTTCCCTGCCTGTCTCCTTTCACCAGATTGATGGAATGCCATTCTGCATTCCCTCAGCCCCCTACCCATGCCTCAGATGTAGCCTAGATGACTCTGTATTATTATCCCTGATTCATATGTATGTTTGTTTGCCTCTCCAGGTTGACTATGAACTCCTCAAGGAGCAAGAACTATATCTTAGTCACCTATGTAAACCCAGGTCAAATTGCATGTGCTCAATAAAACCTGTTGAAGGAATGAATACATTGACGAATATGAACAATCTGTTCCAGCCGAACTGGTCCATTTGGAGTCTCTACCAGCTTGGCATATTCACAGTCCCCACTTCCCAGAACAGTTCTCTCAATTATGTTGCACACATTGAAAAACCCCACTTATCCTTCCCAACGCTCAGCTTAAATTCCACCTGCACCATGTACCAACAAGTTGGAGGAGTTGCAATTTGTTGGGTAGTAATCTCCACTCTAACAATCAACTCTTCATTAATGCTCTCAACCACATTCCCTTTCCCTGCAGAAACTATTTCTTTAGATCATAAACTTGAAGATACAGCTATAAATTTAATTTAAAAAGGCAATTCTCAATATAATAATGAGTGCCAAATCCCTATTCTTTCAATATCTTCAAGCTTCTCAAGTTATTCCTGTTTTATTTTGTTTCCATGGGGAGAAGTTCATGGTAAGAATTAGAGACATTCAGTTCTATCAGACCAAATACACCACAACTGAGAATACATATACACATTGATATACTAAGAAAGTCAAAGTCAAGGAACCAAACTTATAATCAGTTCAACCATCTATTACATGCCTTTAGGAAAAAAATCATCACCTCTCTCAGCTTTAGCTTCCTGAGATACAAATTACAGATGATAACCACCATCTCTATCCTCAGCAGTTTGTTCCAGAGTATTTTACATTATAGTATCACAAAAAGCATTACAAAATTTCATATCATGCATTAATAAAGTTTCAATTAAATACTTCACTAGACAAACTGTTATACCAGATTCTGTAAACAGTACACCTAAGAAAATGTTTTGTTTATTAAGAAACATACAACTATAGTTCATAACTTTTTAAGCAAGTACTCTTTACCATGGATATATATTTTTGCAAGCAAATATTTACTTGTAAACTACCGTATCTAAATTCTCTTTTTCTGGTCAATCAAAACTTATTGTAAGGTACTAGAAATTAGTATTGAGATTAGATTTTTTGGTTCTTGTGCTAAGAATTTCTGTATGCTAGTCTTCATTAAAAAAATTTAATTATGAGGAATTTAGAAACAAAATAACCCAGGATTATGTCATATTTCAGATTTTTTTTGGCTATCATACTCGTGGTTATAGTTTATTGTAAGGCAAGGACACGGAGGGTTCCAAATGTCTCAGGATATGGTACCTTCTCAGTGTTGATATATATGACTACATAGAGAGAGTATTGCCAACCAAGCAAGTTGACCCAAGTCTCCATGTGCAGAAATTTTATTAGGGCTGCATTAGATAAGCATGACTGATTGATTGCCTACCTAGTAGAAACTCAGCCCCAGGTTGGCAGATACATGATACAAATTTCCCACTCTAAAATCACTTGATTGGCATTTCTGGTGTGACCAGTTTCTACCCTACATATTTCAGATTTTTTAATGTTAAAAACAATGAAATCATTAAATTTTAAATTTCTCAATCAATATTTACTTCCAATATTTTAGACAAAATATTAATATATGGGCTGGGGTTGTGGCTCAGTGGTAGAGTGCTCGCCTAGCACATGCAAGGCCCTGGGTTTGATTCTCAGCACCACATACAAATAAATAAAGTAAAGGTATTATATCCATGTACAATTAAAAAAATTTAAAAATATATATTAATATATTTTCACTCTCCAAATAAAAGATTCCCTAACACACACACATACATATAGTTTCCTAAATTGTGCTTTTTAGGCTTTTACTTCTTATATGCAGCAACTCTTGGATGCTAATTAAATTATTTCCATATGTTTTTATTTTCTTTTTGGTTGGTTAAAGGTTTTTACAAGATATTCTTACTATAGCATGATTCTGGTAGTCTTCATGCTACTTGTTGTTCCAATTAATTAAAACAGTTTAAAGCATAAATTATTTAAATCTTATTTTAACCATAATTTTGTAGCTAAATTTTTTTCCCCAAAACTTTGCAAACATTCTGTGCAAACTTAATTAATGCTGAGGAAAAAGGATTTTAATAGTTGCCCAATGTTCTTCAAAAGACAAAAAGAATAATGAAACATGCTCATCTGAACTCCACCCATTTTTCAATTTCAACATAGTAAATCTCCTGTTTTTTCTTAGGGCATATTCAAAAGCATACATATTGGTATTGGTTATTACTGAAGATAATTTATGCAATCATGAGTCAAAGATGCTAAGTTGACAAAAAGAAAACCATGCAAGTAAGCAAACCCTAACATCTGAGAGGCACACCCTCTCAGTATATAAAGGCTTGCCACTGTCCTTGGTAGCAGGCACTCCCTGAGCTCAACAGCATCAACATGTCTGTTCGATACAGCTCAAGCAAGCAGTACTCTTCCTCCCGCAGTGGAGGGGAGGAGGTGGAGGAGGATCATCCCTCAGAATTTCAAGCAGCAAAGGCTCCCTTGGTGGAGGATATAGCTCAGGGGGCTTCAGTGGTGGCTCTTTTAGCCGTGGGAGCTCTGGTGGAGGCTGTTTTGGGGGCTCTTCAGATGGCTTTGGAGGAATAGGAGGAGGTTATGGTGGAGGTAGCTTTGGTGGAGGCTTCGGAAGCAGCAGCTTTGGTGGGGGCTATGGAAGTGGGGGCTATGGAAGTGGGGGCTATGGAGGAGGCAGCTTTGGAGGTGGCAGTTTCGGTGGGGGCAGCTTTGGTGGAGGTGGCTATGGAGGAGGCTTTGGTGGTGGATTTGGAGGAGATGGTGGCCTTCTCTCTGGAAATGAAAAAGTAACCATGCAGAATCTGAATGACCGGCTGGCTTCCTACCTTGACAAAGTTCGGGCTCTGGAAGAATCAAACTATGAGCTGGAAGGTAAAATCAAGGAGTGGTATGAAAAGCATGGCAACTCAAGCCAGTGGGAGCCTCGGGACTACAGCAAATACTACCAAACCATTGAAGAACTGAAAAATCAGGTAAGGAGCATTTTAAAATCCAACTTTAAATTTAATTCTATCCCTGTAATATGGGTAGATGAATCTTAAGTATAATATAGCTGTTCACTGTGATTTTCTTGCTTCCAAATAAATCCAGTCTCATCAAGGATAAATTGAATGAAGGTATGGTCATGGCAATCTTCATCCAGCATGTGTTTTGTCTGTCTTACATGATGCAGATTAACAAGGAATTTTAGATTTTAATGAACATATAATGAGCCCACAGTTAAATATGCCAGATCATTTAAAAATGTAAGAGCTGAAAAATATTAAATGAATAAGAACAAAAATATTATTAAGACTGATAACAAATAAGCCATATTCAATAGCAACATTGCAAAATCCATGAAGTCTCCTTTATGGAATTGGGATATTGCTTAACTCCAGGGAATCTGTGAATTGTACCTACCAGTTCAGAGTATATCTATTTAGAAATATTTATAGCAAATGGAACAAATACAGGGGTGAGCCAGTCAAAAGTTGGTTGAAATACATAAAAATCACTAAGTATAAAAGAGGCTAATACATTAATAGGATTACATATAGTTAGTTTTCAGAAAGGGATGACACAGAAATAGAATAGTGTAGAAACTTCAAGATAGGTTTTTAAATTTAAGTTTGTGGGTAAGCTTAAAATATTTTATATTTAAAAATAATCCACACAAAAAGTTTTTGGAAGAGAACAACATAAAAATGCAGCTTATCTATGCCACTATAAAAGCCATATTTGCATCTGACCTTTTCTTAAATGACTGTTCCTCCTGATCCTCAACCTAACAACGGACAACGCCAACGTCCTGCTTCAGATTGACAATGCCAGGCTGGCAGCTGATGACTTCAGAATGAAGTAAGCTAATTGAATGTGCAATACTATCAATACAAATACATCAATTGTTTGTAATAGTGACTTTAGATGCCATAGTAGCATTTACATTTTCCTGAATTCATTCAAAGTGACAGAACTGGAATTATCTGAGAAAGTTTCAATTTCAGAATTACCTTCCTGGTAAGCTTTAAAGGAAGAAAATGCATTTAAAGTAATTGCTAATCTTCCTATGTGAGTTAGTATATGGTAAATATTGCAAGGACATGAAATCAACTCTAAATTTTTTAAAGTCTTTTTCCACATACAACTCCTTCTTAAGAATTGTATCCAATATATGTATCATGCTTGTTGCAGGTATGAGAATGAGGTAACCCTGCGACAAAGCGTGGAGGCCGACATCAACGGCCTGCACAGGGTGCTGGACGAGCTGACCCTCACCAAGGCTGATCTGGAGATGCAGATCGAGAGCCTGACTGAAGAGCTGCAGTACCTGAAGAAGAACCATGAAGAGGTGATACAAAATTATATTTCCCCCAATTTTTCAAAAGGTTCATTGTGGTCATGGTGCAGTCATTAAATCTTTTTTTGTTCCTCAAACAGGAAATGAGAGACCTTCAGAACGTATCTACTGGTGACGTGAATGTGGAAATGAATGCTGCCCCAGGTGTTGATCTGACTGAACTTCTGAATAACATGAGAAGCCAATATGAGCAACTTGCTGAAAAGAACAGAAAGGATGCTGAAGCCTGGTTCAATGAAAAGGTAAGTCAACCACCCTTCACAGTGAAGCCCATGTAAGTTCTGTTGTCATGTCCGAGGTTTCTCATATTTTCCCATTTTTATAATTCCAGAGCAAGGAACTGACTACAGAAATCGATAACAACATTGAACAAATGTCCAGCCACAAATCCGAAATTACTGAATTGAGACGCACGGTTCAAGGTCTAGAGATTGAACTACAGTCCCAACTGGCCCTGGTATGTTAAGTCTTGAGACATGACTTCCATTTTATCATAGAAACACAGAGCTGAGGATAAGAAAGCAGAAATAAAACTGGAACTCTATGCTAATGGAGGAAAAGAACTATTAGTATCAGTATGAAGTGCTGAGATTGAAATGTTGCCATTACATAAAACACTAATTTTATTCATTTCCCTTTTTCTCCAGTAGTATCTTATTAAATAATTTGATAAGCTTCAGTATGCCAATTGAACAACGAGGTCATTAAGCAACAACAAAATCCTCTTTTCAGAAACAATCCCTGGAAGCCTCCTTGGCAGAAACGGAAGGTCGCTACTGTGTGCAGCTCTCACAGATTCAGGGCCAGATCACCTCCCTGAAGGAACAGCTGCAACAGATTAGAGCTGAAACCGAGTGCCAGAACGCTGAATACCAACAACTCCTGGATATTAAGATCCGACTGGAGAATGAAATTCAAACCTACCGCAGCCTGCTAGAAGGAGAGGGAAGGTAATTGGAAAACTGGGGAAAAAAAAAAATCCCAATTGTTTTCATTCAATATTATGAATAGCAAGGCTTATCCAAACTCCCAAGGAAATGCCAGAGGATGGGAAGAAGGGAGGTGTAAGGAGGAGGCAGGGTACCGAAAAAGGAGTGAATGAATCTCAGGGCTGTGTGTAGTTAAGTTTGTTTTAAACAGTGGGTTTTAAAACACGTGCTTGGCAGTACTGTATTCTCTCAAAACCTTGGCTTATCTACTAAAATAACAATCACCAGAGAGGGAGCCACCCTTTTCCACTGTTACAAGATCACTGCTTAGGACCCTCACCCCTCTTAGTTCCAGAGGCGGATCCTACGGCGGCGGCAGCTACGGGGGCAGTTCCGGCGGCGGCCACGGCGGTAGCTTCGGTGGCGGCAGCTCCGGTGGAGGTGGTCACGGCGGCAGTTCCGGCGGCGGCCTCTGCGGCAGCTTTGGCGGTGGCAGCTCCGGCGGAGGCCAGAGCGGAAGCGGAGGCTTCAAATCCTCCTCTTCCGGGTCCGCTGGAGAGGTCTCATCTAAGGGACCAAGGTCAGCAGAAAATCTCTGGGGTAATCAGAATTAGTTTTAACTCTACGTGATGGTTTTAGTGCTTCCTCAGCTCTAGGGCTGTTTTTAAAAATGAAAATCTTAGGGTTTTCATTTGCATTTTTTAACAAAACGCACTTTTGAGTAAACATTGATTGGATTATTTTTAATGTGAAAATTTGAATTTTCCTTTCTTAAAAAGTGCAATATCGTTTTTCCTTTTGAATATTTGCATGTTTATTAGCAAGGATACCTACAAATTGCTTAACCTAAATTCTAATTTATTTATTATTATTCACAGATACTAACAAAACCAGAGTGATCAAGACAATTATTGAAGAAGTGACACCTGATGGTAGAGTTCTTTCATCTATGGTTGAATCAGAAACCAAGAAGCACTACTAATAAGTAGCATCAAGACGAAAGAGTCTCCCTTCGCACAGGCCATTATATAACAGATGCATGGCAAAATGTTCAACACTTCTGTCTTAATGGTCTGTGGAAACAGGTTCACTCCTTGAAAATAAGGTGTCTAAAAGGTGTTTTGTGATTTCTGTAGTTCTTCTTTTCACTTTGCCAGAAAGTGTTTTTTCATGGAAAAAGAAAAAAGAAAAACTTTCTGTTCTCATTTACTAATGAATTTCAATAAACTTTCTTACTGATGCAAACTATCTGAATTTGTCAGAGTTTTTCTTTACTTAATCTTGTGGGTATGCTCAGACCAAATTAATCAATCTCACTGAATAAAAAGGTTCAGAAATCCCCAGTCTTATACTTTCTTAAAGATATGCAATATGTAGTAAGCTCCCATCTCTCTTGGCTTTAAACTATTTCAGTCCTGGAAGTTTAAAATATTTCAAATAAGACCCAAAAAAATAAAAATGGAAATTCCACATTTTCTGATTGTCTACTCACATTTGCCTGCCCTTATTCCTATATTACTTCATTCCAATTGCTATATTGCTTAAAAGATACTTTCCAAACTTAACCAGCCCAGTAAAATATCAAGGCCGGCAAAATTACTTGGTGTCTATCAGATGATGCCAGTGTGATCAAAGGGGCAACTCTAGGTCTCTGCTTTCCACAATCCTCCCCAGGGATCAGTACTAAAGACCTGGTATTTTCAGGGTTAGCCCAGTGCCATCCCTTAGCCAATAATAACCCAGCCGGCTTTACTTAGTACTCTGCTAGGTAATACTATAAGGGGAAAAAAAGAGGCTAGAGTTAATATGTCCCCCTAAAACTACTTGTGTTCCCTGGTGGTCTCCTGGATTACCCATGCCCACCAAATAGCAACCTTCCTCAATACCTTTGAGTTGAGCTCCAGTTTCTCCCAGGATTGGAACCCTGGTTAGCATGACATTTGGGATTCCCTCTACATTATACACTACCCTCAAATCAATTACAAGAGCCATATTTCAATATGAATGGACTTCTTTTACAGTCCAGGCTCCATAACCAACTGGATACCAAGTGTTACCACATCTGAGAAGCTCTCCACTGTAGTTCACTACCTCTTTATATGTGGACATTTGTACCAGCTTCTCTTATTAGAAGATAGTCCCCCATTGAAGACCCAACATGCCTCATTGTGAAGCCCTGAAACAGCTATTGCTGGGTGAGGACTGAGTTCCTACTGTGTGTAATAGTGCTGGAGTGGCTGCTGTTCAGAAACACGATCTTTGAAATTATTGTCTAATAAAGTTAACCAAATCCCTGGGATGGATTGCATTGTTCATAATGTGAGATGAGCATTGTCCTTATCCTGCAGAAATAAAAGTTTTCATATCCAATAACATTGATTCAAGACAAGTTATCATGAGACAGTTGTCCTTGGTATTAAGCTTTGTCTCTGTCCATTCTTCCCTCCTTACTCCAGCCAGGATCTTGGCTGGTTAGAATTCTTTATCTAGTTGAGTGGCAACCCAAACCTTCATTCCTGAAAAGCCTCAATACATAGTGATCTTCATACCTTTTCAATCCTCCAATACCTCATTAAACATTTATATTAAATTATCTCAGATACAGTAAGTACCTGATAAAGAATTACTCTCTTGACTGATACTGTGCTACAATGGTTGAATAAATATAATCTGTCAAAAATAATTTTGACAAGAACATTGGTATTTGTGAAAAATAAATTTTTTAAATTATTAAATAGCACATAACACTATTTTTACCACATAGCTTTGTCTTGTAGCTATTTTTTTAAAGTCCTGTACATATTCTTACACATACTAAAATTGTTGTAGAATCCTGCTAAGCAGTTCACAGTGAAACTGGCAGAGTCAACTTGTCACCCATGTGAAATTATACTGCATAGTAAAAAGCTTGTTTCTCCCAAATATTCTCTAATGCTGCTAAAGACCTTAACATTTTGCACACTGGCCTTGATATTTATGATGACTTGATATTTTGCTTGATAATGGAGAACATCTTTGTTAGTATCGCCTTTATCAGGGAGGTAAGCTTGATTAAGATTAAATAAAGGTACATCCAGTATATCCCATCTGGAGTGCATCTTGACAGTAGAAATTGGGGAAAGTGCCTTCTCATGGTTATAAACACGAATTTTCAAGTCAGTGATCCCTGGGTTTCATATCCTGGCATTACATTTACATATTATGTTAACATAGAGAAGTTACTTCTGAACCTTAGTTTTTTTTTTTTAATCTGTACAATAAAAACAAAACAATAGCCTCCTCCCCACGCTTATCCAAGGGAAGTACATTGCAAGACTTTCAGTGAATGCCTGCTAGTACAGAACTCCATACTGTGTTTTTTTTCTATACACACATACCTATAATAAATTTTCACCTTTACAACTTCTCTTCAGTGTATCCAAATTTCCAGCATCACTAGTATTGCACTTTGGGGCCATTATTAAGTAACATAAGGATTTGAGGAACACAACCCCTGCAATACCACAACAGTCAATTTGATAAGTGAGCTTCTAAGTGACTAATGGATGGGTTGTGTATACTGCAATTCTCACCCCAGAAGGAATAGCACAAGATTTCATCACACTACTCAGAACATTACACAATTTAAAAGTTGTAAATTATTTATTTCTGACATTTACCATTTAATATTTTTGGACCTCACTTCACTGTGAGTAACTGAAACCATGCAAAGCAAAACCACATATGATGAGAAACTACTGTAAACCACAAGCTGAAAATTCAAAAGCATTAAGCTAAGTCAAAGGAGCCAGACTCAAAGGCTAATGTGCTGCATCTCGTTTATATGATATTCTTAAATAAGTCAAGCTGGAAAATTAGGAAACAGACCAGAGGTTGCCAGAGGTTGTTCACCACAAAGGGGTACAAGGGAACTTCTCAAAATTATGGAAATGTTCTCCACCTTGTTTCTGGTAGCTACAATACAACTGAATGTGTCGAAGTTAATTGAGTTATACGTTTGCTATAAAGTTCACAGGGGTTTTAAACCTCAATAACCTTTCCTTTTTAAAAAGTGAAAATAAACAAATTGTGACTGAACATTTCATTTTTCAGTGTGTTAAATGTTGTCGATTTCTACTCTATTTTTAGCTCCAAAAACAAAGCTTATACTCTGACAACTGGAAAGTATGGAATGTCCTTATAACAAGGAATGGCACAAATAAATAATTTCCATTATAATACATTTTAATGACCATGCTTTCTGAGTCATACTCTTATTAATCTAAAGAGCCTAGGAATTAAGTAAAGCTGAACCATAGACTGTCTATAATCACATCAGCTTATACCTGCAAGGCTGGTATGAGAAAGAAAAGATGAGAGTCATAACATGCATACAATCTTTAAAATTCTTCCCCCTGCTTCTTCTGGTATCTTGTTATCAAAGTCAGTTTGGGGGTGTGGATGAGTCATATTTGGATAACTAGGTTGTTTCTGTTGGGAAGAGATACAGGGAGCTGGTAGGTAATTGCTACTTGATAGGCAGCCAAGAGAAACAGGCTCACAGCAACGTCTCCTCTCTGATGTATCCTCGCCCTTCCAAGCTCCATGTCACCTCCCTCTTGAGGTCTTTTTTTTCTTCTATAAGAAGTTTATCTTCCAAATTGCCTTTTTAGAAAAGAATGAAATAACGTTCTCCCTGCTGCCCATCACTCATTCCTTTTCACCTCCTTCTCCCCAAACCTGTCCATTGTCTTTCTGCCTTCTTAAAATAACTCCAGTTATTGATCTAAAGGAACCTAATGTCTACCCCAGACTTTAGCTCACAGTGCACACCATTTATTGGTTGGTTGAGCATTCATTTAGCAGCATCAGGCACTGTGCCAGGTAATGGGGATAAAATAGTGACCTCAAAGAGCCCATAAATAGCAGAAATAGCCACTCAGAGGACAGAACGCACTACACAGAATTAATCCCAGGTTGCTATGGTAGCTTTAAAATGCAATATTTCCTATACAATTGAAATCATCCCTAGCAACCTATGCCCTCTGAAATGTCCACAGGGGGTCTACATTCAGATTCAAACCAAACTTTCAATCTTCTCATTTCTGGTGGGAAGAGATTCAGGGAGCTAGTAGGTAATTGCTCTTTTTTCCTTTTCATCTACTGTCTTAGTAGAACTGATTATCTTCTCCAAAATTGGTGACAAAGACCAAGATGTCCCATCTTGGTAGGGACAAAATGCATGACATTTATTTATTTGTGGAAACTATGTTGAGATGGAAGAAATGAAATAATCACAATGGAATTTCTACTTCATTCTAATTAAGGGAAAGGTATTCACATAGCTACAAGACTCTAATGATCATAAATACTGTTTAGAATCATTTATATGTATATAATTATTCTTTATGTGTAGGATACTGTATTATATGATGAGGACACACCAAAGTAAGGAAGTCTTTGCTTCTGTTATCAAATGATACAGAGAACAATGACACTCTGTATGTACAGGTAGATTTTACAATTATCAAAGTGCTTATCTCTGTATGTAGAAATCATCTTCAGCACCACCTTGGGACCTATGCAGAGCTCAGAAATACTAAATGACTTGCACAAAGCTTCACACACAGCAAATGGCAGACTTACATCCTGAACCCAGGATCTCTGATTTTTGAGCCTAGAGCTCCTTCTTATAGAGCACAGATTTCTAGACATTTTCTATTACAGACTCCTAGTCAATAAAAATATTCTGATGTGCCCAATGAGTATATTACTTACCTTAAACGATACATAAATGCATGCCTTCATATATGTGCTGTACTGTAGCTCGATGTACAACATATATTAGTGCAAACACAGTGAAAATTTTGGTCACAGCCATGCAGACAGAATTCCTTGCAATTTGGCGTTATAAACTGGAACTAGTTTCCAGACAGGTCATTATAAATAAGATTTTCACTTCAATGAATGTCCCATGGGAGATTCAAAAGTCATGTGGAACACAGGACAAGTCCTTGTGTCAGACTGTATAGTGAATTTCTGGATAGCTGGCATTCTTGCCCCCTGCCCAACCACATGCCAGGAATGATCCTATCACTGTGATGACCACACACACACACACACACACACACACAATGTTCCCTAGAGGACTGTCTCCCTTCACTGAGACTGAGAACTAAGCTTTCATTCCTTGCACATGAAGAGTACCTGTAGGAAAAAAAAACTTGTCAGCATATGTTCCCCAGGAACTCTTTGGGAAGTCCTTCTATAAACTAGACTGTAATCCCAGTGAAATGGGGACCATGTCTGCCTTATCCATCACTATAAACCCAAGCCCAGCACAGTTATCATCACACAAATAGCAAAGGCGCAATAAATATTGGTTAAGTGAGTAACAAAATGAGTGAGTTAATGCCTACACACCTCCCAAGGCAAATCCAGAAAGGCTGAGTTTAAAAAAGAAAAAGAGCAGCCATGTCATCCAGGGTCTCCCATGTGTTAGGAACTTTTCTAGCTCTCCACACTCACTACTTCATTTATGGAAAATATCTAAACTCAGTTAATGGTGGTCCCAACCTTCTACAAGAGTCCTCTCACCTCCAGTAATAGCAGCTCCCTCCCTCCCAGCAGGTGATTTTAGAACCTAAGACACTGGTTCAGAGCCAGTGAGGATACTTCTAAATGTGAATGCAGGCAGAGAGGGTCCCTCCAGTGCTTTCCGATTCATTCACTGTTTCCATGTTTCTCTGGGACTGAGGTAAGAGAAGGCAAGTACTGAAATGGAAGCTCAGGAAAAGCTGCCAACACCAATGGTGTTTTGCACCAATGCAAAAAGAACCCTTCCTTCCATGAATAAAGCAGAAGAAAAGTGCAGCAGAAACAGCTGTGCCAGAGAAAGATCAAGCCTTCTGGACAATGTCAAGGGTGTGGTGCACTGTGGAACTCCAGCAGGGAAGCCTTTTCAGAACTCTGCCAGGAAGAGGGAAGGGTTTGGAGCCCCTGAAAGTTTAACCCAATAGATCAAGTTCACTCATTTATTCAGAAAACACAATTGAACACCAAATGTCAGGCCATGTGCTGGGTCCTGCAAATAAAAAGCTAAATCAGTCAAAACTGTCCCCCATGATACATGCCACAATAGAAGTATGTGTCAGGGGCTGGAGATCATGGGCAAGCCAATGTTGGAATACGAATTATAATGGCTTATCAGGGAAGATTCACTGAAAGATGTGGCTCTTGGACTGAACCATGGAGAGCAGCACAAATTGAACGATTAAAAGGTGGGAAGTAAACTCTAAAACAAATATGGGCATAGCTACCAGTACTGCACAGAGGTACCCAGCTTCACAACTGTGATTCGTATAAAAAACCTCTATAGGGTACAGAATAGAGGACACAGAAACCAATCCACAAAACTACAACTATCTTATATTTGATAAAGGGGCTAAAAGCATGCAATGGAGGAAGGATAGCATCTTCAACAAATGGTGCTGGGAAAACTGGAAATGCATATGCAACAAAATGAAACTGAATCCCTTTCTCTCACCATGCACAAAAGTTAATTCAAAATGGATCAAGGAGCTTGATATCAAATCAGAGACACGCCGTCTGATAGAAGAAAAAGTTGGCTACGATCTACATTCGGTGGGGTCGGGCTCCAAATTCCTCAATAGGACACCCATAGCACAAAAGTTAATAACTAGAATCAACAAATGGGACTCACTCAAACTAAAAAGTTTTTTCTCAGCAAAAGAAACAATCAGAGAGGTAAATAGAGAGCCTACATCCTGGGAACAAATCTTTACTCCTCACACTTCAGATAGAGCCCTAATATCCAGAGTATACAAAGAACTCAAAAAATTAGACAATAAGAGAACAAACAACCCAATCAACAAATGGGCCAAGGACCTGAACAGACACTTCTCAGAGGAGGACATACAATCAATCAACAAGTACATGAAAAAATGCTCACCATCTCTAGCAGTCAGAGAAATGCAAATCAAAACCACCCTAAGATACCATCTCACTCCAGTTAGATTGGCAGCCATTATGAAGTCAAACAACAACAAGTGCTGGCGAGGATGTGGGGAAAAGGGTACACTTGTACACTGCTGGTGGGACTGCAGATTGGTGCAGCCAATTTGGAAAGCAGTATGGAGATTTCTTGGAAAGCTGGGAATGGAGCCACCATTTGACCCAGCTATTCCCCTTCTCGGTCTATTCCCTAAAGACCTAAAAAGAGCATGCTACAGGGACACTGCTACATCCATGTTCGTAGCAGCACAATTCACAATAGCAAGACTGTGGAACCAACCTAGATGCCCTTCAATAGACGAATGGATAAAAAAAATGTGGCATTTATACACAATGGAGTATTACTCTGCATTAAAAAATGACAAAATCATAGAATTTGCAGGGAAATGGATGGCATTAGAGCAGATTATGCTAAGTGAAGCTAGCCAATCCCTAAAACACAAATAAGTAAATAAAATAGAGGTATTTCGTGCAGAGCAGCACACCCCAGCAACTCACCCTCAACGTCGTTTTCTTTTAAAGGTCTTCTCCCACAAACGCGAAGAATGGAATCCTCAAGCCAGATGGAGCAAGTATTTGTTGAAAACCAGCGTAGAAGACTCGCAGTTCAACACACTGAGGATGGGTGGTCTTCTGCTCCGCCTGCGCCGGCTTCTGCTCGGCCGGCTTCGGCTCGGACGGCTTCGGCTCGGCCGGCGGCGGCGGCGGCTCCAGCTTCTGCTCCGGCGGCTTCGGCTTCTGCTCCGGCGGCTTCGGCTTCTGCTCCGGCGGCTTCGGCTTCTGCTCCGCCGGCTTCTTCTGCTCCGCCGTCTTCTTCTGCTCCGCTGTCTTCAGTTATCTTCTGCGAAGTGTGGCTGGCAAGAGGTCTTATATAGCCCTTGGGTCACTGTGATTGGCTCAAAGTTATGCTAATTAGGGTTTGAAAAATGTACCAATGCTATTGGTCCAGACTTTGTCCAATCAGGTTTGGAAATGATCTAATGCTATTGGTCAATTCTATATTCCCACCATTCATTCATGTCTGCCCCACTTCCATTTTCTCAATGGAGGTTGAGTAGTGGGAAATTGAGGTTGTGGACCCAGCTGCAGTGATGCATGGCATGGGCTTCTGCAGCAGGCCTCCCTGCTGTGCCAAGGCCTGGCTGCTGCAGATGACAGGTCTGTGGAGAAGATAGTACAGGTGAAATGTGATACTATATCAAGAAACAGAAGTCTTTAGCTCTAGTTTATACTAGTTTAAACATGTTTATACTTTCTCTATATGTTTACAAAATTTACATGAAATACTAACTTACTTCAGAGAATTCTAACACATTATGGGAAAAAAAAATTAAGACATGATGATTTGGGCAAAATCAAAGTTTCAGCATCAGGAAGTCTAATATTGGCCAGTTTTTAAAAAGTTTTCGAGAAGTTCCTTATAACCATCCTATATTAAAACAACTTTTGTTCATAAAATTCCACAATCCATCAACACCATGAAGTGTCAGCAAGAATATTTCAACAAAAGCAATTATTGAAGGAATAATTACATATAGAGGGAGGAAACCTAAGGTCCCCCAGAGTATTTTGAAACAGGAAACATTGTTGACCTATTTTCAAATGAGACACAAATCCTTCAGTGTCATCTGAGCAGGAGATCTTCACAAACAGTGACCCAGAGATCTGAGCAAGCAGACTGCATAATATGACAGGTTTCTCTGGATATCACTAACCCTTTCTTGCCTGTGCATGGAGAATCTGAGTGCTGTAGAAGACTGAGTACTCAAGAGCTGTCAAATAACTTGGAAGAATCTGAAGAACCAGTTTTTACTGGTTCACCCAGGATAATGGAATTTTCCCCATTTTGAAAGTCCAAAGGAAATCTGATTGTACTATTCTCTTTTACCTAGTTCTCTACTACTATTCTCTTTCACTAGTTCTAATTTGTCTTCTAGATAAGCAAATAATCACTTTATCCGAGTTTCACAACATAGCAATGAGTAACTTTAGGGTCAAGATGATAGATTTTGGAGAGTTTCCATAGGAAACAAAACAGACACTTTAAAAATACATTCAAAAATATAGATAATACAAGAAATTATATTCTTTGCAATTAATATAGCATCAGACAGACTTACATTTTTTTAAAATGGCTATTGACCCCTGTTATTCATAAAAATCAATTTCAGATGAATAGCAAATGTAAATATGAAAATTAAAACAACAAAGCTTCCGGAAACAAAAATGAAAAAATCATTTCAGGATCTTGCAAAAAGCAAAGTTTGGGTGTCTAATCCCAAGGAGGAAAAGAAGATACCCCTGAAGAGAGGAGCACTGAGGTCAGAGGTTAGATCCCTAATAGGGTGAGCAAGTGATCCTGCATGGAACTGGCTGGGGCATGATGACATCAGCACCCAAGGAGGATGGGGGGATCTTCACAAACAGGAGACCCAGCCAAGAAGTGAGGACAGTGTCAAAGTAGAAGAGAAGCTCAATGGAGTGCTGAGCCCAGGTACAGCAGCAGGAGGAGAGGGCACAACACACAGGAAGTAGGACTTTGCTCAGAGAAGTGACTCCATAATGGATAATGGATGTTGTGATTCTCATTGTTGGTAAAGGAAATTATAAATTTGGAAAGAAAAACCTAGAAAGAGTACTGTGGTGTTGGACTGGAATTGGAGGTGTCATGAACTTATGATCCCCGTTATATAGAGATCCAGAGAGTAAATGTGTTTGTGTGCAAATGTATGAATGCATGTTTGCACTTCTGTACAAATACAGAGCTTCCCAAGATGGCCTGTGAGCAGTTACACTGCAACAGCAAATGCACCCTCAGCACCATATCCATTCTCCTCTTAAACTGAGGAGAAATGGCTGACCACAGGGCCAGGGCAAGGAGAATATAACTGAGCCTGGGATGTCTGGTTGTGTCAAGAAAATTAAAAAAAAAAAAAAAAAAAAAAAAAAGCTTCGGCAATGAAGGAAACATGCCAAAAGTACATAGAAGTCTACTACACAAAAACAGTCCTTGGCCAAATTAGGGAAATTTGAACAATATAAATAATGTTAGTAGCAGAAGATAATACAATAGAACCTACTGAATAACAGGAAACACTAATCCATACAAAATATATAAATAAATGAACAAAGTAAAAGCTGGTGATAAGGGGAATCTTTACGTAGTGTAAAGTATTTCTCTACAAAATACTTATTAATTACAAAGGGAAACAAAAGTAACTTTACCAGAGAATTTTAGCAGGTACCACCTTAGTAAAGCCAATTAATGAACATCATCACTGAGACAAATCACAAATTAGACAACACATTCTCCTGTTATCTCTTTAAAAGACATCCTTTTTTCTGATATTTGACCTAGGATAGTTGAATCTCTTTAAATAAGAAAGAACCACAGGAAAATAAAATTTCAACAATGGTATGGAATCTCAATCTAGTCTGTGGGCCTTCCTTAACTACTGTCTGTACCCGCTGAAGTAGGAGCCTTCACATGGATTGTACTCATTCTCACAACAACTGGTCTCCTATGCTATGGATAGGTAAACTGAGGCTCAAAGAGGCCAAGTTATTAAGTCACTGTTACCCACTGAATTCAGAATAGAGGGAATTTCAAGTATAAGTTGTGACCGGTGGCAAGAGCTTTAAGTGGTCATGAATAATCAGATGAGACTTTCTCCACTTTTCACAAATGCTGTAAAATGCCCCCCAAAGAGCTGGACCCACCACTCATTCCCATTTTTTAGAAACATGTTAATTCTCTGTACCAATTCCAGATTCTCTTTTCAAATAACAGGGTTACCAAATTCTGTGGTTCATGTGAGGCCCTTAACAAGGGGTGTTTTCTGAAGTGTGCCATTCTTGTGGTAGGCATTTTCATTATTTAAAACATTTTTCTGAATTTATTATAACTTTGATGAATGTTTAATATACTAATTACAATAATTTTCTGACAAATTAATTGGGTGTTGTTCTAATTGAAAATAACATGATTTCATTTCCAAAAGAGAAATGAGTTTGATCACCAAGAGGCCTGTTGACCTAACACCTAAAAAAAACTGTCCGGCTTACTAACAAGTCCCTTTTATGATGAACTAATTGAGAAGTATCTTAAACTTAAATAAGTCTCTATTGAAATAAGTGCACTAATTTTGCAAGAACTATCATCATCTGTTTTTTTCCTGTTTTTTTTTTTTTTTTTTCCTGGTATGACTGAGCCTTCTTATTTAAATCCACACATACTTTCTATGTAATAATCAACATTCACTTGTCATCTGTTTTAGTCGGTTTTTTCTCTGCTGAGACCAAAAGACCAGACTAGAACAATTAGGGGAAAAAAGTTTATTTTAGGGCTCATAGATCTCAGGGCTCAGGTGAGGCAGAACATCATGGCAGAAGAGTGTGGTAGAGGATAGCAGCTCAGGACAAAGCAACCTGAGGAAGTAGAGAACTCCACTCACCAAGAACAAAATATATACCCCAAAGGCATGCCCCCAGGGACTCTCCTCTTCCAGCCACAGCCCACCTAAATACAGTTACCACCCAGTTAATCCCTATCAGGGTATTAAAGCACTGATTAGATTAAGACTCTCATAACTCAACCATTTCATCTGTCAACTTTCTTGCATAGTCTCACACATGAGCTTTTGGAGGATACCTAATATCCAAACCATAACACCTTCATAATCCACAAATATTACATAAGTTGGAGTTATTACAGAATATTAAGTTATGCTATTTATTATATTACTAGAAGTTAATACATAGTATTGCATAAAATATAATAATTCATTATAGAAATTTCATTAGCATACAATTTAAATTTTTTTAATGTAATGGCTTTCTTTTCTTTATTTAGCTTTTTATTGGTGCTTTATAGGTGTACATTAGGATGGGATTTCTTGTTACGCATTCATACATGCATGCCATATAATCTGGCCAATATCACTCCCCAACACTTCCCCCACCTCCCCTTCTTCCACTCCCTGCTGCCTCTCCTCTACTGATCTCCCTTTGATTTTCATGATGTTCCTAACCCACAACTTTTATTTTTTCTTTTTTCCTCCCTAGCTTCCACTTAGGAGAGAAAACATGCAACCCTTGACCTTTTGAGTTTGGCTCATTTTACTTAACATAAAGGTTCCAGTTCCATCCATTTTCCGACAACTGACATAATTTCTTTTCTTTTTTTTTTTTTTTGCTTTCTTAAGTAAGATTTTTATTTTAGAATACATCATTTTAAATTTTCTTTTAGAATAAATGTAGATTTATAGAAAAGCATGAAGATTGTACAGAGCTCTCAGCTTCCCCTATTATGAACATCTTATTGTTGTTGTTTTGGTACTAGAGATTGAACCCAGGGGCAATCTAAGCCACATGCAGGTGCTTTTTACTTTTTTTTTTTTAATCAAAGTGTGAAATATGATATATCAAGAACTATGTAATGTTTTGAACAACCAACAATAAAAAAAAAGAAAAATCCCTAACACACACACACACACACACAAAATAATTTCATTTTTATTTATGGCTGAATAAAACTCCATTGTGCATATATGCCACATTTTCTTTATCCATTCATCCATGATGGACACCTAGATTAGTTCCATAGATTGGTTATTGTGAATTGTGCTGCTATA